ATACCCTCTTCATTTAGTTGGGTCTGTTTGGGGTCGAAATGGGGTTACTTCGGGTTAGGTTTAGATTGAACCAAACGCGGCCCATTGGCATTTCTTCTAATTTAGGAATTGGCAAAAGGAATTAAAAAAGGAAAGAGCATCCCTTAACTACCCGTTTTGGGAGGATCTGATCAAGCTACAGGTGGACAAAATGGACCAAAGTAGGATTCTGGGAATTATTGTTAGAATTAATAATGGAAGGAACAACCAAACGAGGTACAAAAGGAAATCAAAAGGGAGATTTTGAAGGCGCGTATTGAGTTGAGGAATGGAAGTCAGCATTTCCAGCACAACTCTTCAACCACGCTTATGGTGTGGATCCCATAAAGAGACAACAGAGTATGACAGTAGAATAGAATTCTTTATTACATGATGTGAAGTTTTGCAATGGAGACCCTCAGCCCCTCACTACCTGCCCTATTCACATGTCAAGCATTCTTTACTTCTAAAATTCTCCATAGACATCTCTCCATCCCTCAGTTTGAGTCCTTTTACTAGGGTTAAGCTAAGAAAGTAATAAACACCAATAGAGGACAAAAATGCCCAATCTTTCTCAAACTGGGTCCTTGGGGAATTTAGGATATTCTTTGTCTTGTACTCTTGTATATACAATGGCATTGTTGTCCTTTAACAGGTGTTGAATTAAGAGCTCAATTTTTTATTTATTTTTTTTTTTTTTTTTGCAATGGAAACCCCCACTACCTGCCCCATTCACAAGTCAACCATTCTTTATTTTTTTAAATTTCTCCGTAGACATCTCTCCACTCCATCCCTCTGTGTGGACTGTGGATGGAAATGGGGTCTGTAAGTTTAATTCTGTGGCTCTGCTTGAGTCCTTTTGCTAGGGTTAAGCTAACACAGTTATAAACACCATTAGAGGACAAAATGCCCATCTTTCTCGAACTGGGTCCTTGGGGATTTAGGATTTTTTTGTCTTATACCTTTGTATATACAAGGGCATTTTTGTCCTTTATCAAGTGTTGAATCTGAAAGCTCAACTTCATTCCATTCCAAGTTCTCAACCTATTCTCACCATCTGCTCATCCTTGAGCTGTTAGCCTGTTGGTGTTTTCTTTTTCTTCTTTTTTTTTTTTAATTTTCCATCATTTCACATGGACTACCACCATTTCAAAGCCCGTTGGTATTTCTGAAACGTGTAAAAAGGTCAAAAGGCTTTAGATAGAAAATTGCATGTTTTTGAAATAATTTATAGTGACAGCTCCCAGGTTTGAAAGTGAAGGGTAGTTTGGTCTTTCATGGGAAGGTTCTTCACGTCTCTGTGAGATTTTTCTATACCTAATTCCAGCTGTACCTTAGTAGTATCATACGATTGCATTGAACCTTTCCCTAATGGTCCAAATTACCCATGATTGTATTCATATTATTTTGGTTTAATCTCTCTCTCTCGGTTACATGACATGGCATCTTAGATCTGGGTTCAGTCCAAAAGCTCGCCAAGTGCCCATCCGAAGTGAGTTGGAATCCATCCATCCATCCAAGAAATTGCCCAGGCCAAATCTCCAAAACTGAAGACTAAATTTGGCAATTTTAGGGTTATCTCATTATCTGTCCAAACTCCAAATCATCTTTCTAAACTTGACCATTGATTTAGAGTCAAGAGAATGAGGATTGAAGAAGAAGACCAACACTTTGCCACGTGGAAAATTCTTGGGTGATTTGAAAGTTTTCTCTAAAAAATCCATTTCATATTATAAAGTGCATGGTTTAATGATTACTGTACTAGAATGTGATAGTGAGACAACGTGTTCAGTTTAACTTGAGCACATAACGCGTTTATGGTTTATCAAATTAGAGTTTGGATTTGACGATGAATCCCCAAACTCTGATAGTCGGACAAGACATTGAGCCTGTGATATAAAAGGCATACCTCAAGCCCAACACAAGATTGAGTTAAAGATGGGCAGCGGCTGAGGATGGATTTTGTGTTGGATCAGGTTAGAGTTTGACAGGTTACTTTTTAGCTATTTTGGTTCTATAGCCGGTATAACAATTCAGTGGGTTGACTGATTGTTGGATTAGTTGTTAGAGACTGAATATCTTTTTAGTGATCTCAATTAACAGCTTAAGCATGAATGATTAATTGAGATGTTATTAGAATCAAGTGGTTTAGTATTTGATCTTTTGCCCTAGTCCATTTGATTTATAATCGAAATCTTTCAAAATAGGAATTCGAATGGTTTATTCCCTTCACCTCTTTTGTTCAGACTAGAATCGGAATCAAAATCGAAATTGGCTGAAATTAATGGATTTCATTCCAAGGGAGGAGCTGAAATTAATGGATTTCATTCTCAGGGAGGAGGGAAAATCCTCTCATATGAGGGAATGTCATTCCACTAAGACCCCATTTGTCTTTCGGCAAATTACTTACTCAGGTAAATGTAATTATTTGGGCAAGTTTTTCTTGGAAAACACTTACTCGGGTAAGTGTATTTACTCATATTCTTTTATTTATAAGGTAAATAAGGTAATAACCATTTTAGTCATAAAAATCCATTATTAAAAGGGGCATTTTTGTCCCATTCAAATATTAGCAACTTTCCTCCTAGGTGAGAAAATTATTTACCCCACCTAGGAGATGGGTATTGAGCAAGTGATGCCCAGGAAAATAAACTTTCCCTGGTCCTTACATTAATCTGAAAAATGAACACGGGATTCTTGATCAATGAGAACCAAAATCCCATTGACCAACTTTCCCCTCTCGCAAAATCCAAAAAAAGAACGCCCCCTAAAAATGAGAATAGGATTCCGAATCCCCCCAACCATATAATTGGACCATTCTGATTCCGATTCCAAACCCCTATTCCTGCAAACCAAACAGACCCTAAAAGCATGGGTTCAAGCCAGAAGGGCTTTTGGTGTGAGGGGGTATTAGAAAATAAAAACCTGATCTCACCTAACAACTTAATCTTTTATGTTGAACGGTTCCTTGAGATTAAGTTGGAATATATGCTTGTGATTAGCTCTTAGATTTAAGCTCTAATGTAGTCCGATTTGCAAGTAGAGAGAAGTCTGGTTTTGACCCACCATCACCCACTCCTTCAAACTGCTTCTTGGGTTTAAGCTCCAATTAATCTGATTTCGAAGTCTAATGGAGTCTGACCCACTCCTGCTGTCCTACGATCTGCTTGCTTGTTTCTTTCCAAGTTTCCAGAGCTGAAGGAAGCAAAGGAACTAAATTTATCCAGTTCTTCTCGGGACCAACCGTTAGCCGATCCAGACCTAACCATCCATCACCGAACCCTGTATTCTATATAGAATTTCAGGGTCTGAAATCATTTTCGTAGATGATAGAAATCCAATAAGAAGAGTTTTCATCTACCGAATAAAGTATCACATGACACAATTATCTGCTCTGATCATTTGTAGTAAAATGAATGAGAGAAAGAGTGGGTTTATTTAAATCAAGAGTTTAGTTGATTACCGTTGACTATGAATTAAAAAATAAAATTAGTGAAAGGATCCAATCACCAAAGAGTGATTATACAGAAGAATGACAACAGGATCCGATGAACTAGCAAAGACAACTTTGGTTTCACATGTCTATATACTGACCAAAGTTGAATGACCTTACTTGTTGATTTGGAGAATCTCTAATCAAGTCACAAGTGTCTAGCTAGAAGTGCACCAAAACCGCTGAGGTCAAGTTATTTGAGCCATATACAAGCTTTTCTATATATTTTTTTTATCAACTGATCTAAGTTTTTTTCTGGTCAAATTATTTGCATGCTTAATGTGATTTTGGATCCCTACCGACAGAAGGGAAGGATTAAACAAGAATAAAAACAACTGCTACCTGCTCTAAATTTATATACAGAGAATCATATCAGCTGCATCTAGACTCCCATCAATAGTTTTGAATGAAAAATTCTTATAGACATTAGATTCATCTTGAGCTCACCTCCTTTGTTTTTCATGGTAAGGTCCATAGACAAATGAAACATGGTATTTTAAATCTAAAAAGTTATTGCCAGTTGGTCAGATAGAGAAGACCTTAATTCTTGGCCAGTAACCAGCCCTAATCAAATGACTTCAGCAATGCAAAATATTTTAGGTTTCCTTCACCAGTCATTACATGTATTTCCAGTCACCCATAATAATCTCTAATTTGGTGGTAGTGACCACATCTGATTGGGCTGATTTTTTGTTCATGAGTTCTGATCTGGTAGTTAGATATTTCTTTTTTTTTTTTGTGGTAGGAAGAATAAAAATAAAAGACATCCCAGTATAGCAATGGCTACATAACAGGCATTTTTTGTGATTAAAGAGATCTCTGGCTATAGAGCTTTCAATGCCTAGCATTGCTCCTTTTAACATTGTCAAAAAAAATCGTATTCTGACTAAAAGAAAAAGTTAAAGCAATAATGATCAAAAAGCAAGTTTAAGAGATGTTTCAAGGTATGCTTGACAGAGAAAGAATTATGATATTTATGTAAGAGGGATAGTTCTCAAGGAATTTCACAAATTTTGTTAGAACTTTTCCCTCAACTTTTTGCTTCTCTCTTATTTTCTAGATCAAACATAGCCTGAGAAAACGTTTATAAATATAATAAATGTATTATTAAGACCATTAATTCTCTTGAGCAATGCATCAAATGCAAGAAAATACACATTTTGCTTATATAGTAAGATTTACAATGTGTTAGATGAATAATTGAATACTGCATAATCCATAGACGTATAAAACCAAATTCTCGTGTTTGTAATGCAACATTTTTTACGGTTTTCATTTATTAAATGTATATGTTATAACTAATTTAAAATTTGACTTGTATAATTAATGTTATAATTACTTAGGCTGTGTTTGGTTGCAGGACAAATTTATTTGCACTAGTACAAATGCATGAGAGTGCAAATGAAAAAAATGCAAATTTTGTTTTGGGTTTTACTTTATTCTGCTCCATGTCTTTATTTACTTCATTTGCATTGCAATCAATCAAAATAAGCTTAAATTTAAAATAAAAATAAGTTAAAATTTATACAAAAATAATTTGCACTTTGCATTGCAACCAAATACAATATTAGTTTTTATGAGTTATTATTAGATGGTTTGGATATCATAACTTGTCAGTTGTCACCTGTTCCGTGTTCCAATAAGGCAACTGAGAGGAAATAAGGTTATGATCATTTGTAGTGATCCTTCTAACTTCTAGGAGGGACTTCAGGTTCCGGGTCACCATACTCAGTGTGGGTCAAATGTTTTCATTATTAACAAAAACATTCTGCAGCGCTAAAAAATGGTCTTGGTGCTTTTAATTTTTCCCGCGGAACATTTTCTCAGTGGTGATAATTGATTTTGGATTTTTTTTTAGGGCTCTAGAATTTGATTGCAATTAGATCTGGCAAAAAAGTCGATCCAACCTGCAAATCCAATCCGACCCAACCCCCAAAAAAAATGGGTTAGGGTCCCCTATCATGCCGCCCATGAGACACCTATTTTCAAACGGTGTTGACCTAGAGGGTTGAACCATTAAAACCATTTGAATTGAACGGTTAACCCATTGTTTTGGTAAAAACCACTGACTTGGTCAAATCATTGACCCATCTGACCTGTGGAGTGTGGATCAACCATAACCTGAATATTTAGGGTTAGCTTTGTTGACCCAACCTGAAAGCTGACCTGATCCAAATGACTCAAAATGCCTTCACCTGACTCCGACCCGTCCCAATTGCCAGGTCTGAGATATTAAACTGAGAGTTCATTCTTCTAAACCAATATTTGGTTTTGGCAGTGTTGTGTTCAGTATCGATTTTAAGCTCTAGATACATTGATGATGTTTATTTCAGTTCTTAGCACCGTTGGTTGGATGTAAAATCATGGGTCACTGGGTCATGGATTGAATAGCCAATCGTCCGGTTCAACTACCCCACTCGTAAAAATAAAAATTATAAATAATTTCACATTATATTTAAGACCACTTTAAATCCTCTTTATGGATAAATAATAAGACTATTTTAAACCAAAATATTCTTAAAAACATATATACACACTTTGTCTGGCTCAACTGAATGTTCAGTACTTTTTCTGGCCCTGTTTGCTTTTCAGTTACTTATGCGGGTAAGTATTTCCCAGAAAACACTTATCCGAGTAAGTACATTTACTCATGTTATTTTATTTCACAGGTAATAAAACAATGACCATTCTAGCTGTAAAAAGTCATTATTAAAAGAGGCAATTTTATCCCATTCAGGTGTTAGCAATTTTTCTCTAGATGAGAGACGATTACTTACCCAAGTAAATGCATTTACTCATGTTATTTTATTTCACAGGTAATAAAACAATGACCATTCTAGCTGTAAAAAGTCATTATTAAAAGAGGCAATTTTATCCCATTCAAGTGTTAGCAACTTTTCTCTAGATGAGAGACAATTACTTACCCACCAAGATGGATATCCATGGAAAATAAATTTTCTGTAGACCTCACATAAATCTGAAAAACAAACATGGGTATCTTGGTCAGTGGGAACCAAAATCCCATTGACCAACTTTTCCCCTCTCAAAATCCAAAAAAAGTGTAGGCCCTTTAAGTTTCAGTTGCATTTCTAAAGCAGCAAACATTCACCGTTTGATGCCATTCATGAACTGATTTATTTTATAAAATAAGAAACAACTATCAAAATGTACAACCAATACAAATGATGAAAGAACTACTTTCATAGATTAATGTATACCGAACAATACCGTTTCTTTCTGTAGCAGTGAACATCAGTACAACTAGTCAAGAGGCCAAACAATATATTTATACCTCTCATTATAAACCTACACTTGAGAAACGAAAGAATGGCGGCTCACCAAAGACCGATTGTCAAAGATCCCATCTCTTCTTTACACGGAACATGAAAGCTGATGATTTAATGTCATCTTGAGGGACTTGGAGCATGAACTGCACTTTCATCTTCATTGGTTGTGTCTTTGCTCTGCCTTCTTCATCTCCAACCTGAATCAAGAAACTCAAGGAGTCAATCTAATAGCACTAAAGACGGAACCATTTTAATTCCATCCAATTAAACTTCAAAAAGCCACAAGCAAGGATTAAGAGTATCGATATGATACACCCAATACAATACACCCTATATCTTATTGGTATCGGTGTACCCAGATATGCTTGGATACACCAACACAGACTTTTGAATCATTTAAAAGGTCACAGACCTCTTCCCCAACTCACTGATTATTATAAAATAAAAAATTAAAAAAAATTAAAAAAAAAGATGAATATCAGGCATATCAATATTTTAATCCTTGACCACAAACGTGTATCTGTTTATCCTACAGAACCAATAGAAGTAATGAAGTCTCTCAAAACCATTCATAAGAGAACTTGAAATATATGGGCAAATAACATGGTGTGGTTTACAATCATCATCATCCAAGCCTTACTCCAACTATATGGGGATTGGCTACATGAATCCTATTTTGACATTCCATTCTGTTTTGTTAAGATGTGCCGAATAGAGGTAGTTTAGTCTTCTTCTATTTATTAACTTGCTTATGTGGTTGTGTTATTAGAGTTACTCTGCCCCACACTTAAGTAAGGGCATTTCTGTCTTTGTAAACATTATTAGAATCTAATATAGATTAAGGGGGTCGACTGGATGTGTTAACCATCAGATTTTCGACAGACCCTTCTTCTTCTCTTCTTCTTCTTCTTCTTCTTCTTCTTCTTCTTCTTCTTCTTCTTCTTCTTCTTCTCCTCTTCCTGTTCGGACTACTGTAGCAGCAGTCGAAACATGTTTAATGCCTTATCCATTGTTAAATGACTTAAACTATTGGCACTTAAATCATTTCTTATTACTTCTACCCATGTCTTTTTTGGTCTACCCTAGCCCTTCTTACCCCTTCAACTTCCAACAAATCACTTTCTTATGGGTGCTGGCGCACATGACTAACCATATATTAGTTTAGTTTCTCTCGTTTTATAGAAGCTATTCCTAGGTCTTCATTTCCGATATCATCCTTTCTAATTTTTCCACTCCAATCTGAAGACAAATAAATCTGTTGCCATATAACCCCTTTAAAAGGGTCAATACCCAATTTGGTCCTGGTTTCAGGGCCTTGGGAGGGGTCGACCAAATGAGCCTAACCTCTTTGTAGTGTAAGGTATTCAAGAGGGGGGGGGGACACCGTCCTTTGAACACATTGATTGAGGTTTTTGCACCTTTTTGGAATTAAAAGATATTTTTCTCCTCAAGTTTTTGGAGGGGGCAGAAACTTGCTACAAATGGAATAAAGGTAACATGGCGAGAGATGGAATCTTATTGGCTTGTAGAATAAGCTTCCATGTGTAGGATTCCAGAAATGTCCATACAACCCCATTCTGTTACTAGTGTAAAATATTCAAGAACGGAGCGATAGGAGAACTTCATACCCAGAGAGATGCCCAGCCTAGTCGCACCTCCGAATCATAACCAGCCTTAAATTTGAGATCCTTACCGACTGTGTGCTTGTAGACTGCACTCCAGTAATTGGAATCAAAATTATACCAGTAACTGCACACAAAACCATTAAACAGATCAGAAATGCAACTGAAAATGCTTACCACCATGTACTGAAGAACTATAGGCCAAATTTGAACTTTGCAATGAAAAAGAAATTAAAAATCTAATAGTCCAACATGCAATTGTATTTTATATTTTTTTCTAGCCCACCACTGTTGATGGATCAAACTAGGGTATTATCTAATTGTTTTTTTTGATAAATTATTATCTAATTGTTTATTTTCATTTTATGGATCTGCATATTATTTCTCATTAGGCAGTTTATTTAGTTGTCATTTGGGCTGCTTGTGGGCCTTGGGCCTTATTATTTTTTTTGGTTATTTTAATTCTGTCCCACTCGATGATATTAAGGGAAAAATTGTCATTGTGTTCAATTAGAGGAATTGATGTAAAAGTTAGTGGGATCTCACATAGAGACTTACGATTGAAGTATTCTTCTCCTTATTCTTGCTTTTCTCTTCCTCTTCGCACTTTATTTTGTGGCATCTTCTTGATTTCAGCACTTATTTTCGTTTCTCTTTGAACTATGCACTGTTAAAACATCAAGTTCCACCAATACTAGTTCCTTTCTCTGTTCTCTTTTCTGTTAGTCCTTGTGGAGATAGGATGATTTCTTTATTGTAATAAGATATTTTTCTTTAAATATGAGCTTCATAGAAATATCTTATACTCACTGGATTACTTATTTGTGGAAAATCCACAGATTTTACTTTCTCATATGTCTAAAACACATGGACCACATCCTGAGATATAAGAATCCACATCTGATGGGTCAAGACAGGTAAATGTCATCTATAAAACGAACCTGACTGAATATTTCAAACCACTGGTAAACTCTTTGTTTGGTCATTAGCATACTCACAAAAACCATGACCAATTCTAGTGGCTAGTCCAGAGAAATGTGTTGGCATGAGAGCCATGCGCAAACAGGTCAGTTGAACTTTGCAAACAGGTCAGCTTGCTGGAACAGATTAGAAAAGCTATTCAGGGGTAATCATTGGCCAGGTCTGGCACCTAGTACAAGGGGGCTTCATGTAAACCCAGGAACGTATTTATATGTTTATAGCCTAGGCTTGGAAATTTGTTGAATGGATAGGCCGGGCTAGCAATGGTCATCCCTAGAGCTAAGTTAAAGGACAAAGCATATCCTTGTTTGACATTTAAAATATAGGAAATCTATGTGGCCAGAAAGACATGGTAACAGAAAGGATTTGACCAATCAAAACCACCTGTCAATTTTGATAAATACCACCTGATTGGTTACCATGTTTATGAAACCAGTTGATTGGTCACAAATTTTCCGAATATCTTTCTGGTATCATAGTTAGACCTGTTCATGGGCCGGGCCGGGCTTTCACTTGTCATTAAGGGAAATATGCTAGGCCCGAGCCCAAGCCCGGCCCAACCAACGGGCCTATAACTTGGGCCCGAGCCCAAGCCCGAAACCCGACCTAATAAAAAAAAAAACAATTTTCCCTATTCAAATTAGAATTAAAAATTCAGATAGTTTTTTTTTTCCTATTTAAATGAACAATGGGCCTACAAGATGGTTTTTTCCCCTTTCTTTTATATTTTAAAACACAGTTTTACATTCTTAAATCAAAAAATTTATTCAAATGGACATAATCACATTACTCACTTTAAGTCTAATATTAGGTCGAGCCGGGCTATTTTGACAAAACCCGAGCCCGGCTCGAATTTATTGTGGGCCGGGCTTTTTCGCCCGAAGTTAAGCCCGCAGGCCTATAACCACATTCAAGCCCGTCCGGGGGCCGGGCCGGCCCGTCGGGCCACCCGGCCCATGAACAGGTCTAATCATAGTCAAACCCTTAAAATATTACAAAAAACATGTTCATGAAGAACTTGCAATGTTACAACCCTTTTAGCACAAATAAATTAGACATCCATGTTCCTACTTGCTAACAAATAACAACCTATGGATATAGTAAAATGATAACAGAAACAAATTAACCAATGCAGACACCCAGACAGAAGTATCACCTTAACTTATCTGAAGGACTAAACCGACGCTTGAATGCAAAAGACAGCACATTTGATGGCAGAGAAATGCTTGGAATAAATGACATTTGCTCATCCTGCCAATTATTAGAATTCTCAAGTCCCATATTACAAAAAAGAAGAATAAACAACTAAGCAATTTAAGAAGAAAGGATACTAGCAGATACAAATTCCAGGCATCCCACCTTTGTAAAAATTACATAAATCCAGTACATTATGGGATTTGGTTTCCTCAGCCAAAGTTGGAAAATTGGACTACCCTTAATAACCAAGCCTTCTGAGTCTTCACCCAGAAACATATGTCAAAAGTACAGAGCAAGAATCAATAGATCAGATAATTAATACATACGATCAGGTCACTTAAAGTTAAAGCAAATATATTTGCAGCAAATCCCATGAACATGCCATGGCTATGGCAGATCCGCAGAGGGACTGAGGGAGGATGGCTTTTTCACCAAATCCCATTTTATTAAGTAGAATTCTCCTCAGTAAGAGAGAAAAACAAAGAAAACAAGAAAAGGAAATGATCTAATCTATTACCTGTAAAGGGAGAGTTCCCCATCATAGACAAACTTTTCCTTTCCACTTACAAGTTATCCCTCCCTCTCTCCCTCCCTCCCTACCTCTCTCTCTCAGGTTCAATCCAACTCAGATTCCAAGTGGCATCAAGCAATAAGTATAAGAAAGAAGATTTTGACAGAAGAATGTTCAAGAAGAAAGGGAAGTACCTTGTAAGAGTAGCGTAGATTCAAGTCCTCATCCTTGTACTGAGCAGTGCAAACCCCTTTCAAAATTTGACCTTTCAGGATTCCATTTATTGACAAAGCCTTCTTCACTTCTTCCTCTTCTTTTTCCTCTAATGACACTTCACCATAGGGAAATTTAAAGGTTGCTTTTGGCTGCATTACCATATGAGATCCAATGTAACTAAAGGAAATAAATTTGCTTGATAGCATAAACAGAAGGCCAGTATTTTGCTAATGCAATGAAGCAGTACTGTTCAACCTATATCACCAATCATTGATTGAAAACATACAATTTGAAGCATGCTTTCTGCCACTCAAGGTACAAAAATAAGAAGGTGAGAAGGTTTTACAGATGCCAGAAACAACTTAAAACCATGATACAAATTTTACTTACCAAACCAATAGATGGAACAGGAGATGACAGTTCCAATTTGTATGACGGATCAGCAAGGCTTGCAATCATTGCGACCTCTCCTTGTTGTGCCTAAGAGAAATGAACCAGTAAAATTAAAAGAATATTAAAAAGATATATGCAAACATTGAGGCTGTGTTTGGATTAACTGGAGGCATGGAAAGGAAACAAAATTCAGTCCTGCTTAATCGAGCAGGCTATAGAACAATTAGCCACCCCCCCCCTAAATTCCAAAATAAATGAAAAGAAAATGAAGCAAAACCTTTATTCCCTTCTGGATTCCACATGGCTTTACTTAAAACCAAACCGAAATCCAGCAAGTAGCAGATTTTGCTATTTACAATAAACTATTGCTATTATAAAGCAATGTTGAGAAATAAAATTCACAACAGAGACTTAGCCATACAAAGAGAAGCAACATGTGTAAGAAACTTAAAGGGCCAACCAAATAAAAGCAAGGTATGTCATTTTAGAAATAAGAAGCACTCCTCATTATCCAAATGGGAGTGTAATCATCTAATTTAAGTTCTTAACTATTTTCCTTGACAAAGTGTTGAGTATGTTAACTATTTCACTTTGATAGCTTTCCTTTTTCACCTTGTCCAGTGGTAGAAAACAAAAGAGAAATGGTAAAATGGAAAAAAACTTTGGTGCCAAGAGAAGGTTTGGAAGACAACCCACAATTTGAACAATTTACTAGCCATTTACACGGTTCTCAAAGGCAAGAAAAAGAGAAGTAATAGAAAGGAAACAGACCCAGTTGGTAGAAGAAGGCATTGCTTGATCAGCAATCCAGATCATCTAGTGAACAAGCTTTAGTTATATGATGACATCTGGCTGTCTGGCATCATCCAGGTACCAAGTCCCCCATTTGACTATCAATGTTTAGCTATGCAGATTGCAGACCCAGTAACATTGGTTGTAAACTAGGACCCAGCCCAATAAATCCGTACACAAGCTGCTGCCTCAAACCAAGAACAAACTCAACTTCAACCCCCAAATAAAGCCCAGGCCTTGCTCCATTCCACTAAAACCTTTACCTAAGTAGGCTCTCCTTTGACTCCATTGCCTCTAGAGGATTCAAAGTGCAACATGGGTTGACAAGTGTGAAACACAAATAGAAATAATTTCTCCTTACTAAGTAGTCAGGGATATCTACAAGCTAAAGCTCAAAGAAGAGTCACCCCACCATATGCCGTCATAGAATCTAACCCTAATCTGCTCCCCACCAGCCCCCTTTTACATCATACAATCATACATTGTTGAGAAGTGAGAACCATGGCAAGATTTGAGACATTTGACTAATAGCTTTCCACAATTAACATAGGCAAACTGTAAACACCACTTGGAAGACCAATCATCATCTTCAAAGGCACTTAGGCACATGAGGCAAGGTGAGGCACAGTCAAATGCCTTGCCTCAGCAGCCACCTTGTATATTACACCCAAGGCTTCATTCTTAAGCTTCAAGTTTAGTGAGGCATGCACCTCACTGCCTTTCGCCTCAAATTGTGAGGTGCACACCTCACATAATTAGTGTATTAAAATCAAAAGATAAGAAAGAAAATACATGGCATTTTCTAAAATTGAAAGATACTTGATTATTTAGTTAATAACCAAGAAAATCATATCATATACACCCAAAATAGCATCTTCCCTAGAATTCATTTGTTCTCCTACATTTTATTTGCAACCAAATGAAGCCATTGTGAAAATGAGGTTCCCTTGGCAGTCTCCAAAACTATTTAGCTAGAAGTTTCTCTCATCTTTTTTCCCCAAATCCCAAACCCAACCATCTTTCCCACTTGGATTTCAATCCCACAAAATAAGACAGCATGTTTTGATTCTCCATGATCTAACCATTTCTTCTGAGTTGATTATATCCCTTAAATAATTCTCAGGTCAAGTTGACCAAAGTTATTCAATCTCCTGATGAGACAAAAATCTTCTTCCAAGATAGACATTCTTTAAGCATTTCCCAATCATCAATCCCCACTCAAGGTATGGATGCAACTGTGGCATGACCAAGATTGGGATGATCCCCCCATCATCTATATTGCATCAACTAGACATTTACCAAGGTTCAAAATATTGATATAGCATAGCAGCAATAACTAAAAGAAGCTTCTCCATCAGATTATACCAACAACCAATTATAAGTTTACGATTTCATTGATTACTTGATTTTGATGATCCTCCACAAGCACTTAAAATTACAAAGGGAAGTTTCATATGTATAATTGGTTCCAGTAAATTTTTGAAAGGGAAAAAATGAACCAGCAAACAGAGAATATCTTTAGGATCTCCCATTGATGAAAAACAATTCTGAACTTCAACTTTTGAACTGATGCACAAAGGATGAAGAAAATAAACAACATCAAATGTTAAATTTATAGCTTTCACCTACAAAGTTAGGCTGTGTTTGGACTTTGGATAAGCTTTTGCTTTGTTTTGGCTTTGAGGAGAAAAAAAAAATGCACTTTGGAATTTGGTAATAACTGTTTTTTAAAGCATTTTTGTCCAAAGCAAAAACACATTGGAAGCCAAAAGCACAAAGTTAAAATTTAAGTTTGTGATTTAAGCCAACACAGAAAGCTAGTTGTACTTTTCTGCAAAATGAAGTAGATCATGAACACACATGTATTTCTAGAATCACCACATGTGTGCCACATGGCATAGTCAAATGTGGCATGCCCAACTAGGGAAGCCAAGAAGCTAGAGAGGTTAATGAGAGGCCTTTTTTGGGAACCAAGGAAAAGCAGAAAGGACCAGTGGGAGGTTGTGTGTCGGAGTCAAGAGGAGGGGGTTTGGGCCTAGGGAATATAATTAAAAAGAATTTAGCTTTGTTGGGGAAGTGGATGTGGAGGTGGCCCATAGAGAGAGAGAGGTTGTGGCAAGATGTGGTAGGAAGAATTCATGGTCGATTAGAGAATGGGTGAGACGTTGATATGTCACAGCGGGCAACTTTGGCAACACCTTGGAAGGCAATTCATAGTATTCTTCCTCAATTTCTCAATTTTGTCAGGTATAATGTGTGTATTGGCAACTCTATCCTCCTTTGGGAGGATATTTGGGTTGGAGAAACTCCTTCAAAGGACCTTTTTCCCTTCCTTGTTCTCTATTTCTTTGTACAAGAAAGAGTTTGTTTCAAAATTCTTGTCTACTTTGGAAACTCTTCTGGCACCAAACTGGGATTTTGGGTTCTGTAGAGGCTTTTCCAATTTATTAGGCCTTTCCAATTTATTTTGGGTTCTGTAGATTTAGTATTTTTCCAATTTATTAGGCCTTCTCAATGAAGTTTGTTTGGACATAAATTTGGACCCTCGACCTAAAGGATCGTTCTCTTATGCAGTTGTGCTTCTTTTTTCAAGTTCCTTTGCCAATCTCCCTCTTAGCAGTTGTTCCCTATTAAGGAAGTTTGGTGAGGCCCATTTGGTTTTTCGCCCTAAGCTTTTATGGCTTTTTGTTGGGAGGTATACTATGGGAAAGTAAACACCTTGGGTAATCTACAAAAGAGAAGACCTTTTCCTTTGTATCTCACCTAATTGGTGTATTCTTTGCAGGTTTATGGTAAGGATTGTTACCATTTACTAATATCTTATTCTTTTACTGCAGAATTATGGGGTTGGCTTTTCTTGATGTTTGGGTGCAGGTGGAATGTGCAAGCAGAAGTAAGCTTTCTCTTTTATCCTTCTACCTTCACCAAGCCTAAAAGAAGAGAAAGAAGTATGTGGAGATGTGAAAGAACAGCTCTAATTTGGACAATATGGGAAGAAAAGAATCCCATAATCTTCCAAGAGGAGAGAAACCAATAAGAATTAAAGGATTGTGTGTTGAATAGGGCAATACACTGGTTGAAATCCTTGGACTTATACGCCTCCTAAAGGTTTCTTGAAGCTGAATTTTGATGGGAACGGTCAAGGCAATCCAGGCCCCTCTGGGATGGGAGGGGTTTCAAGGGACAAGATTGAAAATGGTGTAGTGCCCTTCTACTCATGTCTTTTAGGTTTTGGGGGCTCTACTAGGGTTGAATGATTAACTGCCTTACAAGGTGTACAGTTTGCAACTCAGATAGGTGCATAACAACTAATAATCAAAGGGGATTCCAAGGTGGTAGTGGGTTGGTTGAAGAACCCAGAGTCTATTGTGTGGTGCTTGAAGAATGAAATTAAGAAATTCAAGTGGCTGATAAGGAATATGAATGTAAGAATACACGGGTGGGGAGACTAGCAAATGCATGGCTGATTGTTCAGCCAAGCAAGGGGAAATTTGGAAATACTTGTATTGGGCACAGTTGTAGTTTGATTTTGTTTTTTCACTTTGTTGGGAAAGGACACAGCTCACACCTCTCCAAGGAATGCTTGTATTAGTTTGAATTTTTTTAATTAATAAAATAATTTACCTATCATAAATGTAGCATAACCAATATTGTCAAAATCTTATGATTTACGATACGATTCAAATCCTTGAGGGTTTTAATTTGAACCTTATGTATGAATTGTTTTCTACAAAAATCTTACGATTTTTACGAATCATTACGATTCAAATAAATTCAATTAAGAATTAGTTTTCTATTTCATCATTTTTTTTGTTTATAATTATAATTGTCAAAAGAGACTTGTTTTAAACCCCTTACTAGAAAATGATTTATTTATGTTATTTAAAACCAAACATCGAGTTTATTTTCCACCATATGTAAGTTCAAGAGTCATAGTATATGGATTATTTGACTTTCAAGTCAAACTTGATTATATCATCTTTGGCTACCACTGCACAAGTAGTAAATTCTATTGTTTTAGGTACATATATGGTAAATATGGATTAAAAGTAGGGTAAAATCACATTCATGTGTCTATATTTAATTTTTGACAAATGTGTAAAAAATAGAAATAATATTACAATTTATGATATGGCCCATTATCAATGTTTAAATGCAAAGGGCATTTTGCTCCCAATGTGCATGCCTTTTTGAAACAAGGCACAATATTTTACAAAAATATAAAAAAAAAATCAAAAAATGTAAAAACTTCAAAATTAATTAAGAAAATATTAAAAACAGTAATAATTAAAAAACAAACTTTAAGTTTCTCAATGATTTAAAAATCCTATTAGCTCAAAACATAACATATAAAACATATTTAAAGTGAAAATGCAAAAATAAAATAAAAAACAGCATCTAAAACATATTTAAGCATGTCAAACTTTCAATTTCTTTATGTCTTTCCCAATTGCGTTATTTCAAACAACTAGTATGATGTTAAAAATCTTTCATTCATAATTCTATCAGCCGCCATTGTACCAAGCGCTTTGAGGCAAGCCCAAACAAGTCTATGTTAGTGTCTTAAATTCTTAATACCTACAAAAAAAATGATTTTATAATTTTGATTCTTTTAAAAAATATCTTTTATTTGGATGAATGAATGAGCAACATTAGGAAATAGGGGTGCACCTTTGCAAAGGGGCTATGCTTGGGCCTAGGCAAGGAACAAGCCCTAAAATGAGCCTCACTTGTGCCTAGGCATGCCTTTTAAATCACTACTCACATTTCTATTCAATTCAGCTTTCTCTACGATTTACAATACGAATATGATTTTCAGAACATTGGGCATAATGCATAACCATTTATGTGCCATATGGCATAACCATAATCATATGTACCATGCGGCATAACCATTTATGTGCTATGTGGCATAATCATAATCATAATCATGGCATGAGCATATGCTCTACATGGCATGCCACATGGCATAAGCATTTATGTGCCACATGGCAATAGTCATAATTATATGTAGCATGGCACATGGCATAAGCATTTGCGTGCCACATGGCAATAGTCATAATTATATGTCGCATGGGACACGGCATAACCATTTATGTGCCACATGGCATAGTCATAATAATATGTTGCATACGGCATAATCACATGTGGCATACGACATGATCATATGTGCCAAAAAGCTTTCACATGACATAATCAGATTGTTGTTAAAGCAACATTTACCGAACCATTTTCACAGCATAAAACACAATGACGCTTAAATAATACTCCTTGCTTTTGGGCTTTGAAAAGTGCAAAAACAAAAACCTATCCAAACACAACCTTAGTTTAGTGGCATGTAACTCCAAATAGAAAAGGGAAAAATAGAGGTCAGGTAGCTCAACTATGTGAAAAAATAAATTGTGCATGTGATATGGTAATTTAATGAATAGTTGATGTTATGGCTGAGTTGAATTTGGTATGGTAATTTAATGAAAAATAATAGCAATTCTATCATGCCATTCTTCAAATATGTGTTTTATACAGCATGGAAAGATAAGATATGTGTAACTAGAAGAAATGCCATTACAATCAGAATTCAAGTATATGGCAAATGAATAACCCTACCATACTAAAATTAAAGCTAATAAACTAAGGGGGCATTAGCTAATACTAATAAGGACGCATGGATATTGAACTCAACACGGAATAGTATCATAACGTACATAGAAAAAGCTACTGTATAATATAGGAAACACGCACCTTTCTATGAAGATACTTGAATAGGAACAAACTACCCAAGTTAATGCCAGATCTAATAGACTTGCTATCATCACAAGTACATGACATACAGAAATACTTTGTTGAACACCCTAGATGAAAATATTTTGGCTCCACGATCTGGAATGTAGGTTGTCTCAGCAGATGCTTTGTGTGTTAATTTGTGCAGAAATACACAATCAACAAAACAAGCTTGAAAAATAAAATAAAAAACACTACCCCAGAAAGGCAATACAATGGCATCAATTTCTCTCCAAATCAGTTAATTAATTTGCAATATAAGCATGACTTTACTAATACCAACCAAGCAATTTAGACAGCACAAAGAATGATTTGTTCGACAGTTGTATAAAAAAATTCAAATTTGGAACTTTTTCATCGGTTCACTAGAACAAAAATCTGATCATCTAATCACGATATGGTGCATTCTCCCTCCAAATTAACTATAAGCCAGGATGAGTAAAAAAGAATGAAGAAAAACATTAAGAAGATAAAACAACAACAAAAGAAATTGGAAGGAAATTAAACAAGGAAACAGAAATAGAGGGTAATGAATGATGAAGTAAACCTTAAGATCTTGAGCAGCTTTGAACTGCAGTCGATTGCCGACGTCGAAGGAACCCTTAACGAAAGCGCTCTGCTCCTCAACATCGTAATGGAGAGAGAGGTACTTGGTGATGAGCCCAACCTGAGGATCAGATATCTCCCCGTTCTTGTTGTTCTGGAAGGATAGTTTGAGCTTGGCGAGGCTATCGAAGAGCTTGCAAGAGATCTTGTGAAGGAAGATGGAACTGTCACTATCGAACTCCGAGGTGACTCTAAGTGCAGGACGAGGGAAAGAGAAGGCAGGGCTAGGGTTTTGGGGTGGTGGGGATGTTCCTACTAGTTCCAGGGAATTAGGAGTTGGAGCTGAGGACTCTCCCATTGCTCTCTGGTTCTGTTGCTCCCAAGAGAAGAGCGATGAGGCAAATGGGGAGAGGAGAGACTTGGATTTTTATGATTTTTGAACAAATTTTAGAGGCGGAAAATTTTATAAAAGCAGCGAGAGAGAGAGAGAGAGAGATTCGCGTTTGCGGTGGGACCCGACTAGCAGTATTCACCATTCACTGACGTTGGTTGTTTGTTTCTCTTTGGATATTTTTAAAACTTGGGAAGTAGAGAACAAAGCAATGCATTAAAAACATTATGGCCCATGCAGGTCTCGAACCTGCGACCTTCGCGTTATTAGCACGACGCTCTAACCAACTGAGCTAATAGGCCATTTATTAGAGAATAGTATATCATCCAATAAACACGCATTTCTACATCCTCGCGATGGATGTTGAAGCCACCTCAACAACATTCAAATTTTCCCTTTGTCGTGAGCACTGCAACTTGGACCGGATATAACCCAAACCCAAGTTGAAAAAATAGTTGAAGTTGACCTTAAAGTTAGAGTTGAAAGGTATGAACTCAATTTAACTTTGGATTAGATTAAGGTTGGGGTATTGACCAGCCCAAACACGATTTAACTTTATATTTGCATGTATAAATATTATATAAACATATATTTATGGACGCAAGTTATTTATGCATGTATGTATATGCAATTATGCGTCCATATATATATATATATATATATAATATATATTACAAGTATTTATCTATTTATACATATACACGTGTGCATGTATGTTGTATGTCAGCAATTTTTTTTCTAAAACATGATAACCATGTTATTTTACACATAATTTAATATTGAATTAAATAAACAATTAGAGTCTAGGAAATAAGTAAAATTTGGCAAAAGGAAGTATAGAAGTTGAGTCAATTCAAGAGTCGAGATTAATCCAAACTTAACCCAAGCCCGACCTAAGTTCAACCTGAAGTATTAAAGTTGGTTTAGGGTTAAGGTTGGGGGTTCAACAATTCAAGTTGGATTAGAGTTGACCTCAACTTGACCTAACCTGACTTTCACCCACATTTGTCATTAGGGGTGATCATGGGCCCGCCCCACCCTAGGGTTCCAGGCCTGAAACATAAGTCTTAGCCATCTACACGGGCCTACATTACATATCTATAATATTTTATATTAAATGCATTAACATGTATATAAACTTATTTTATACATTATATAATATAAAATATTACATATAATATAAATTATACATGTCATGTTATGATATTTATATAAAATATATAAGACAATGCAAAATAACATGTATACATTATACACAAAATGTGTAAGTTTAAATATATGCAAGCCAGTTTGGGCCCGGACCAGGCTTGAAGTATTAAGCCCAAATCCGGCCCTAAAATTTGTGGGCCTGATGTGATCCCAGGCCTAGGTCGAGTCTAAACACAAAACCAAAGTCCAAGCCTGAAATTTTCGGGCCAAACTGAAATGATCACTCCTATTTGTCATCCACCAAGTATGTATGTCCTATTTTTTTCCTTTTTTTTGTAACAAAATATGTACACAATTTAAAACAATGAATATTCAAGTATTCAATGATAAAGAAGCAAAACCCCACTTATATGTGTTGAAACCCATAACAAATAGTTGCCCTAATTGCAACATAACATAGAACAGGGGCAAAACCAAGCCATATTGGCCTCGTAAAATCATGAGTAGGCTCATAATATTATCTTGAGAACTACCTTGTGAGGCCACATTGGCCAAACCTCCTGAGTCGCCTTGTAAGGTCATGACAACTTAAACTTGCAAGTCACCTCACTGGATTATCAATATGTCTCACCTTAGAAGCTACCTTGCAACGCCATAATATTCTAACCTCACAAGTCAAACTTGGAAGGTCATAACAATCCTACCTCACAAAAAGTGAAATATCTTGCCTCGTAAGGCCTTGTGTGTTTAGCTGGCTTCACCAAATGTTTAAAAACAATGACAAGTGTATATCTTGTGAGGCAAGTTAAATACTAATGAATTAGTGTTTGAGTGCGATGAAGGTCGTGTAGAGGATGCCAAATGCAAGATCGGTACCTCAGAAAAACCACAAATGACTCATATCGGCATGTATCACTTTTTAAGGAGACCCAAGATTATGCTTTAACAACCCTGTGATCTTGAGAGACATGTCTCTCAAAGGGAGAAATCGACAAGATTCATGTCTAGATATTTATTTAGATTAAAGAATATTTTGGAATTTTGCTTCATGCACATAACCTTGTTCCCCTACTTTTATAAGTAGAGAAACCACTCTATGAAGGGAGTGCTGATTCTTACTCCATTAAAAGCTAAACTTTGCATCCCTAGTAATATCTTTCTCGCTTCCAAAACCCATCTAATTTTTTTAGAAAAAAAAAAATCTATAATACCAAAAAGACATGATATCCAAAGAGTTTTGAGCAATCAAACCATCCTAAAAAATTATCATGAATAAGATTGATTTACCTATTTTATCATACGTGTCCAATATCATGTTTGTATCATAGTGGAAATTTTTCAAGACAATAATATCGGCAATCTATATATATTTATAGTGAAGAAATTTTCTCCTTTATTCAATTTTTCAAAATTTTAATGGGAAATTTTCAGTATTTTGGCTCGAGTGACAATTTGGTCCCCGAACTTTAAAATGCGACAATTTAGTACTTGAACTTTCAAATTGTGACAATCCAGTACCTGAACTTTCAAAATGTGACAATCTAGTACCTATCGTTAACCAGTCCGTTAATTAGCTACTAAGTGACATTTGAAAAGTAAAAAATGCCCCAAGAATGCCATCTAATTCTCTTTATCAACCATTCAAACATTGACAATAAAATGAACAGTCCCAAATTCTAGATTTTTCTAAACAGTCACCAACTTTCTAAACAATTCTTGATCATTGTACTGAGATCAATTAAATAGTTAATCAAGTCTCGGTGTGGCATTCATAGTCGGCTTTGAGAAGTTCGTTGTGCAATGTAGGTCCATCAAGTTCAACGCCATGTTTGATGGTACCAGAAGCCTTTTCGTCTAGCTGCGACAAATCATACAATGGTTTGGTTTTGGGTTTTATTTTGAACTTTTGAATCAAATAAAGGGCAAATTTTATCTTTCATTTTTTTCCATTAGCATTTTAACGATGATGAGAATTGTTATAAACAGTAAGGATACTATAAAATACTAACAATGAGGATAGAGTTTTTCAATTAGCTAAACAGTAGAGGTAGTTTAAAAAATTTTCCCTTTATTTTAATGCTTATAGTAATTAGTTATTAATATTATTTTTTATTTTAAAATACAAATATTGAAAATTTATTAATATTTCAATAAACTAATCAATCTTTTTTATTTTTGTATTTAAATTATAACTTTTAACAATTTTAATTTTTTAGAAATTAATATTTTTCAATTATTGAAAATTTTAGTGTAATTTCTAAAAATTATTGAATTATGAAAAATGTTTATATAACTAATGAATAATTAATGATATTTTACTGAATTACTGTATTTTTCAATACAAATACAATAATGATTTATTAGATTTTCCCGAACATCGAACGGGTCCTCGCTAAGGCTATCTTTTCCTTCAAACCAAACATAGCTTAATACACTAGAAAATAAGGAAATAGAAAACAAAGAAGTAAGATATGCATTAGAAAATGAGGATATAGAAAACAAAAACGTAAAATTAATAACTAGCAACGTGTCACAAAAATCCTTGGCCCATGCAGGTCTCGAACCTGCGACCTTCGCGTTATTAGCACGACGCTCTAACCAACTGAGCTAATAGGCCATTTGAAAATTAAAATCAAAAGGATATTATTCCTAAATAAAAGACAAGGAAGCAGTAAAACAAAAAAGTACAAAAAATAAATAAATAACATTAGCAATATATAATAAATATTTATGGCCCATGCAGGTCTCGAACCTGCGACCTTCGCGTTATTAGCACGACGCTCTAACCAACTGAGCTAATAGGCCAACTGAAAATTTGATAAAATATAATTTATATAAAGAAATAACCTATTGGATCATAAGTTATTAATTTGTAATAACTTAAAAATCAACGGCAATATTAATTTGTAATTTTCAATATAAACGTTTTAAAAATCAATATTAAAAATAAAACTACTTAAACATCCGTTAGGGTTCAAATGAATCAACCTATGGCATCATATAAAGAAACATTGAAATATAAAAAAGAGGTAATATAGAAAACTGAAAAACAAATATATAAAAATAATTGCCTAATTGGAATATCTCTAATATTATATTATTCATCATATAAATTCGTGACTACAAAAAATGTATAACAAATACAAATTATTATTATTATTATTATTATTATTATTATTGGGAATAGCTAAAAGTACAATAACCATAGGGAAAATTTTTAATGCTGAAAATAAATGATACAAAAAAGCTTTGACCAATCACAACCCCCCTAAATTTTGATAAAAACTCATGTGACTGGTTATCTGTCAGAATTCTGAATAGGGTGGTATATTATTATAAAGTGGATACTTGGTTTTGGTGCACATCATAACAATTGAATTTAATCATAAATGTGAAAAATATCAACTTATATCTATACCCTTTGTACACACATGAATCACATGCCCTTGCACTTATTAAAAAGAGGAACCGAAAAACTGAATTGTTTTGCATCTAGGTTGAATGGATAGAATCGTAACGTCATAAATAAGATAATAAAAATATAGAAAAATGCTTAAAATATAAAATTCCAAAAATTTTGCTACTACAGATAAATTATAACAAATAAAAAATTACTACTGATAAATATTTAATTTCAACAATGGAAATGGATAAAAATGCAAAAAAAGAAAAGCATGGTATGAAAAAAAATGCAAGAAAAAAACTTTAAAAAGTGTAGATGATTGTATATATGAATTTTTTTTGTTATTTTGTTATTAATTTTGGGTAAATTATAAAGACCCCCGAGAGTGACCTCGACAAGGTGGAGGCTCCCGGGCCGAATCCAGACAAAGGCGCAGCTCCCGAGCTTGACGTGGAGCAGCGCTTTTCTGCCGTAGTGGATAATTTGACGGCCCTCCTAAATTC